TTAAAACAAAAAGGAAGAAGATTAAGATTTTAGACGAAGATGTTCTTATGCCATTTTCAATCGTCTAGATAGAGAAACGCAATGTTAAACGAAGAAGTACTTATGTTATATTCCTTGGTGTAAGAAAGAAAGGTATGCGTTACCTATTCAGTTTTAGACTTTCTTTATAGTTTTTTCACGTGATAAAGGGAGAAAGAAATTATTACCTGGGTCCTCAGAGTTATTAATTAATCCTCTTTAAAAGATTGCAGGTCAAGCGAACCCTCATTTGCAAAATAAAGATATATCTTTCTCTCTCCATAACTTGTTCTTTTCTCTGTCACCGAAAACCCAGCAGGGGTCCGGACGGAATGAATGAATGAATGAATACCAAGATTATTATAGTTAATTTAAAAATTTTTTAAATCATTTTATTAAAAAAGATTAAGATACATAAAAACATAAAATCATAAGATACTTTATAAAACATTTATAAATAACTGAGATGTGACAGTTTGTTATTATGAATCAAATTGACAAAAATAAGGAATAAGAAAAAAATTTTGAATGATTTTTAAGTCTGTTTTCTTTGAAATGCGAGACAAAATACTGAAACAGTTTGACTATGATTTTCAAGTTTTTATGCATTGAGCAATTACTTGAATTATCTTGCTAACAATTGTCAAGATAAAAGCTTGGCAATACTCAAAACCTCTTGCTGGTGATCTGAGGTTAAAATATTGACGTTGAACTTAATTTTAAAACTGTAAATTAAGCTCCAAAACCTCTTGTCCCCATTTACCCCAACTGACCGTATCGTATTTTTTATAAATATGAAAGATTTTTTTTCAATCGCCCCAGCCCAAAAAGTCAATGTTCTGGGATTGGCTTCATACTTTGGTAAATTGTTGTCCTATATGATAGTAATAAATCCCTAAAATATAAACTCATTAAAAAAATATTTGTAGAAAGTAAATGGGGTTGAAGTTTTGACATTAAGGGTAACATTGTCATTTTCAAACCGGTATAACTATGACAAAAGTTAATGGATTTTAATTTATCTATAATGAATTTTAATGCATTTTTCACGTACTTTTCAAAAATGTATACGAAATTTAAAAAAAATAGTTTTTGACAATAATTTTGCAAGAAACATAATATTAAAGTAGGCGGTGCCTACCTAAATCCTCGAAGATGATCTCCAGGTATACCCGTTATCGGCACCGCGTACTTTAATATTCTGTTTCTCACAAAATTATTGTTATCCCACTTTCACATTTACATAGCTCATGGGAAAAAACCTCAGCTTTCCAATGAAAATTTAAAAAAATACCCGAAGGGGTGAAAATCGAAAAATAAGGGTTGATTTTTAAAAAAGGGTTCAAACAATATTTTTTTTAAATTTCGTATACATTTTTGAAAAGTATGTGAAAAATGAATTAAAATTCATTATAGATAAATTAAAATCAATTAACTTTTGTCATAGTTATACGGATTTGAAAATGACAATGTTACCCTTAATGTCAAAACTTCAACCCCATTTACTTTCTACAAATATTTTTTTAATGAGTTTATATTTTAGGGATTTATTACTATCATATAGAACAACAATTTACCAAAGTATGAAGCCAATCCCAGAACATTGACTTTTTGGGCTGGGGCGATTGAAAAAGAATCTCTCATATATAGGTACATATATATGAAGAAAATTATTAATAATTCTTTATGAAATAAATCAACTTTTTATTTTATATATGAAAATTTTCAAAAATTTTTTAAGAATTTTAAAAAATTTAATATTGAAGAAAGAAAGAAAAAAAAATATATATATATATATGTTACGGTAAAAGTACATAATCGGTAAATGTGCACATTCACCAAGGTCGTTGGTAGAAGTTAGAAATCTGTGATTAAATAAAAAAATTTCAGACATTTACCATGCAAAATTGGTAAATGTGCACATTGACCACCGTTAGTTGGTAAATGTTGATATTTTGTTAAACGTTGTTTGCTATTATTGTTATCACTGTCATTGATGTTTACAAAATATTTTAATTAAGTATTATTTATTTTTTCTATTTATTATAACAATAGCTGCTTCTTTTTCAAATGATAAAAAAATTAAATTATCAAAAAAACAAAAATTATTTATTCTGGCAAGGACCACTGCCATGGCATTTAGAATTGCACAACAGATTTTGTGCTTTACAGCTGCATTTTTTTGTGTTGCATTTTCCCTTACAAAGGCATCTTTGAAATCCTTGTCCGCCAGTCAAGGATTGTAAGGATACTGTTTCCCGCAAAGATATTTCTCTGTTTGGGACTTCATCAGGAGAAAGAAATTTTTGTCTGCAGACTGTGAACTGATTCCTGCTGTAGCTGTGTTGTAGTCGTCCTTATTTAGTTCCTAATAAATACTGCTCTTCCTTATTTACAGATAACACAGTAGCAATTAAATTTCGAGAATCGCTTTTTCCTCTGTCCACATCTGGTATAGGCACTTTGACCGAATCTCCTACTTCTGCAGGCGGAAATTTTTTTTTTTTTGCAAAAGAATAATAACTGAGATTGCTAATATAAACATTCTACTTTCACAAATCTATCCTCTTTGTATAAGTTTGATTTGTATCTCATTAAAATGTATACAAAATAAAATGTCAACATTTACCGGTAAATGTGCACATTCACTGGGCTATTTGGTAAATGTGAGAAATTTTCAAAATGACGAAAAAATTTCGTACATTTACCAAGTAAATTGGTAAATGTGCACATTGACCACCGTTAGTTGGTAAATGTTGACATTTTATTTTGTATACATTTTAATGAGATACAAATCAAACTTATACAAAGAGGATAGATTTGTAAAAGTATAATGTTTATATTAGAGTAGTATAGCTAGGGGGCTTCTACGCCAGGTTCTGATCTCGGCTAAGTACCTGCAGTCGGTAACTGCTCGGTCGGTAATGCAGATTTCTACTTTATCAGCAGTCGGTAAGGTAGGAATCTGACAAAAATTTCAACTCGACCTTATCGAATTTCGATAAGGTAGGAAACTGTTTTACCGACCGAACATTGAAGTTAGTTTACCGACCACCTAATAGATGGCGCTCACCTCAGAGTGTGTTGCCGACTTTAATTAACCTGTTTTATTGAACATTGAAGTTAGTTTACCGACCACCCAATAGATGGCGCTCACTTCAGAGTGTGTTGCCGACTTTAATAAACCTGTTTTATTGAACATTGAAGTTAGTTTACCGATCACCCAATAGATGGCGCTCACTTCAGTCTGTGGTTTTAAACTTTTTTACTGAATTAGTTTACCAACCACCCAATAGATGGCGCTCACTTTTATTATCAACTTTTTTTAAAAAAATATTTTTCAATTAAAACTGTTTTACCGACCGACTTAGTTTACCCGATAGGTGGCGCTTACCTTTCTTATCGACTTTGTATTTTTAAATATTATTTTAAATTTATTTCCACGCAACAGTGCTGCGCTCTTTACCTCATGGTAAAATTCTCGCTCGGTCGATAGTTGGTAACTGGTCGACCGAGCGTGCGAGCTAGTTGTGTACGGTGCCGCGTTAGTGGAGCCGCGCGAGTAGTATCCCCCACCCGGCGGCGGCGCGCGCCGCTTTATGCCTGCGGTAGTGGTGGGGTACTGCCTATAAGAGTCGGACTGCTCTCGTGGATCCACATAATCTGTTCTAGATGAGCCACGAGAGCAGTCGCAAAATGGAACGGTGCCACTGCTGGCAATGTGTTGAGGAACAATAAAATTGAGAAATGTAAGTACATAATAATTACTCATTAAATATATAAAATATAATATAAAATATAATATAAAATATAATATAAAATATAATATAAAATATAATATAAAATATAATATAAAATATAATATAAAATATAATATAAAATATAATATAAAATATAATATATTTTTAGAGAGAATATGAGCTTCTAGAAACTCCCCCCAATTCCCCCGCAGAAGGGGGTCTAGAGATGGATGATGGCTATTATGAGCTGTCTGCGGGTGAAAATAATGAGGAGCCACCACCGGCAGTAAGTATAATTAATTTTTAAAATTTAAATTTGAAATTAACTCTTTTTCTTTTTAGTTCCAAACTCCACCACCAGGGGAAGGGGGAACTCCCATTCCAGAGTCACCCAACTCCTGGGTGACTGAAATGGAGTTGCCGGTGGTGGTAATTCCGAGGCGCCGCCACCATCGCCGCCATCGTCGTAGCTTCCACTATCGGCACACTCATCGCCACCGCCATCACCTTTCCACCGGTGGGTATATTCTTACTACCAGGACGGTGGTGGTGAGGGTGACGGCGGTCGTGACTACGACGATGGCTTCATAACATTTTGGAAAAAAAAAATAAATAAATAAATAAAAAAATAAATAAATAAAATAAAAAAATAAATAAAAAAAAAATAAATAAAAATAAAAAAATTTTCTCGACTCATCTCTTTGCGCATGCGCAGTAAGAGTTAGTCTATCTACGCATGCGTGAAAAGTTCAGAATATTAAATATATATATGCTATTGTATATATATATTTTAAAAATGATCGAGTTTACAATGTCTGCGCATGCGTGAATAGTATTCTGGGGAGGCCCATGCTATTGCGCGTGCGCGGTTATATTTAGCTATAAATACAAGGATTTCAAGCCGTGAAACTCATTCTATTCTGTGAGCTAGTGCAGCTTAGTCGCAGCAAAGCAAACTGTAATAGAGCGATCTTTTATTTATTGTATTTTTTCTTGCGTTTTGACATTTAATTTTATTTTATAAGTTTTTTTGTGTGCTTGGTTCTTTTTTTGCGTGTTATTAGATTAAGGATTAGTATATAAGTACGTTTTTTCCGTTTTTATTAATTTCTTTATTATTCATTTTTTTTTCTTTATTACTATATTTATTGTTCTTTATTATTATTATTTTGTTTATAAATATTTTGTTCTATTTTTATATTATTTATTTCTATTGTTTTTTTTATTTATTTTTACGCGACAATGCCTGGTAAACGAAAGTTTGCAGGCATTGGGAGACCTGCGAAGCGACCCAATTATAAGACCATCCTTGATGAGTGCGAGGTCACTATTGCACTCATCAAGGATGCTCTTGAATTACTCGCGAGTTTGCGCAATGGCGCTGTTAAAAACGAGTTTATAGCGCGATGGGTTGCCGAATGTTCTTGCAACGAACAAGTTTTAACAAGTCTTTTAAGATCTATGCAATTTACGCATGAGAAAAGTCGTTGCCAGAACATTCTACAATTCATTATGAGATTTAGAGTTTTGTTCGAATCTCAAGCGGTAGAGGGCGGTGGTATACAAGACCCTAATATTAATAATCGCGTGCGTTGGGCTATGTGTGAGTCAGCGTTTGAGTGCCGATTGTACACGTATGTCATATTAAATATTGTACATGTAGATATAGGTGCGTTTTTGAACGATGCGGCCATTTTGTTTCAAGAGCACATTCAAGATGCCTTAAATCAAAATGGTCCCATTATCGTATATGGTGTTTTAACTGCTAATTTTAAAAGAGTGCAGAATGAAGTGGAGGTAGTGCAGCCAATTCCATTCTCTTCTAAATCTAACAGCATCTTCCTCACAACTTTATTGGAGGACTGGTTCGAGGTCAATTTGAAGCAGCCAATCCTGAGGAATGTGGAGGAGTTCCATGAAAAGGGGTCCAGCTGGAATCTACAGTCTATAGTTAAGTTAGAAATTAATGTTAATAAATATAACCCCATGCGTGCGAGTACATATATCAGTTTACCCCCAAAAATAAGAGCCAAACATGCGTGTATTAATGTAGAAAATGAAAAAGATAATAAGTGTTTTAAATGGGCTATACTTTCCGCTTTACATGACGTGTCACATCCCAAACGTGTGTCTAGTTACACTGATATTGAAAATGAATTAAATTTTGATGGTATTGAATTTCCTGTAGCGCTGAAAAGTATACCTAAATTTGAAATGCTCAACAATATCTCGATAAATGTATAAGGTCTTACTAAAAGATATGGTAATTTCTCTGTTCACCCTCTTCATCTGACCGCAGTGAAGAGGGATCAGCATGTAAACCTGTTACATGTAGTAGATTATTATATAGATGAAAGTGTTAATGAAGATAATGTAAACAATGATTCTAACGATATTGATTTTATGAATTTCCACTATGTTTGGATTAAAAATTTATCGCGGTTAGTATCCAAACAATTGACTAACCATAAATGTAAAAAATATATTTGTGATCGTTGTTTACACTATTTTTCATCAGCGGAAAGATTGAATGTACACGATGAAAATTGTAAACGTATGAATGTATGTAGCGTAAAATTACCGAATGCTGAAAATTGTAAAATTACCTTTAAAAATTATGATAATATGGAGAAAGTTCCTTTTATCATCTATGCCGACTGTGAAAGTTTACTTCTTCCCGTTGAAGAAGATACAGATAATTTAAGTAAAACTGAAATTTTCCAGCGCCATAAATTGCTTAGTATAGGTTATTATGTAAAATGTAGTTACGATGACTCATTGTCCGTGTATGTACCGTGTCCGAGGCAGGAAAATGATCCTGCCAAGTGGTTTGCTGACGAGTTAAGGCAATTTTCCGAGAAAATTGATAATGTATTTAAGAATCCTATTTCTATGGATGCCTTAACTCCTCAGCAAATCGCTGATTTTAAGAAAGCAAGCGTATGCCATATTTGCCGTAAGAATATACCAGCTAATGTTAAAAAGGTTCGCGATCATTGTCATCTTACTGGCAAATATAGAGGTGCTGCGCATAAATCATGCAACTTGAATTATCATGAGTGCCAAATCGTACCCATTGTATTTCATAATTTAAGTGGGTACGATGCACACTTTATAATTCATGCTGTATCGACGAGCTTTGAAGGTCGAGTTGACCTCCTCCCCTTGAACAAGGAGAAATATATCTCCTTTACGAAAAATATCAAGGGGAGTGTGGTTAAATTACGCTTCATTGACTCGTTTAGATTCATGGCAGCATCTCTAGAAAAATTAGCGTCATATCTTGACGAATATAAAATTGTTGAATCCGTATTTGCCAGTACGGTGACAGATCGCGAAAAAATTAAATTATTAACGAGAAAAGGTGTCTTCCCTTACGAGTATTTAGACTCGCGAAGTAAGTTGGATGACACCGAATTACCAGCCAAAGAGAGATTCTATAGTACTCTCTATGATGCTGGTATATCCGATGGTGAATATGAGCATGCGCAAAAAGTCTGGTCTGAATTTAATTGTCAAACCTTTAACGATTACGTTCACCTTTATATGAAAACAGACGTGTTATTACTCGCCGATGTCTTTGAGAACTTTCGCGAACAATGTTTAAACGCGTACAGGTTAGATCCAGCACACTATTATACTACCCCCGGTTTAACTTGGGATGCTATGCTCAAATATACGGGCATAACATTGCAACTTATAACTGATATAGACATGATGATGTTTATTGAGTCGGGTATCAGAGGTGGTATTAGCCAGTGTTGTAACCGTTACGCTAAAGCGAACAATCACTATATGGATCAGTTCGATCCTACGCAAGACACCCAATATATTATGTATTTTGACGCGAATAATTTATATGGTTGGGCAATGGCACAAGCGCTACCAATTGGTGGTTTCAAGTGGATTGCCAACCCAGACGAGACCTTTAACTTCAACGTACCCGACGACTCTTCAGTCGGGTACATGTTGGAAGTCGATCTCGAATATCCCGAGAGCCTTCACGATTCTCATAAAGACATACCGTTTTGCGCAGTTAATGCAAAACCTCCCATGTCCAAGCAGGAGAAATTACTCACAACTCTCCTGCCTAAAGAGAAGTACGTGATGCATTATCGTGCATTGAAACAGGCTCTCGGGAACGGTCTCAAACTAGTCAAAATACATCGGGTGCTCCAATTCAACCAATCACAATGGTTGAAACCCTATATAGACTATAATACTGCCATGCGAACAACTGCAAAAAATGAATTTGAAAAGAATTTATTCAAATTAATGAATAACGCAGTGTATGGTAAGACCATGGAAAATGTTCGCAAGCATGTAGACATTAAATTGGTTACACACTGGTTCGGCAGATATGGTGCCGAAGCCCTCATCTCTCGGCCCAATTTCCACAGTCGTGCAATATTCGATGAAGACCTTGTGGCCATCGAATTACGAAAGACTGAGGTCCTACTCAATAAACCGATTTATGTGGGTTTAAGTGTGTTGGATGTCACGAAAACGCTTGTCTATGACTTTCACTACAGTTACATGCTTCCGAAATATGGTGAAGCATGTAAACTGTTGTATACAGACACTGACAGTCTAGTGTACGTAGTGAAATGTCAAGACATATATAAAGATATGAAAGAAGACATCCACAAGTTCGACACATCTGACTATCCGGTAAACAATGCGTATGGTATTCCGCAAGTCAACAAAAAAGTTCTCGGCCTAATGAAGGACGAGTGCAATGGTAAAATTGTTACTGAATTTGTTGGCTTGCGGAGTAAAATGTATAGCATACGCGTTGAAGGTGAAGATTTCGTTAAGAAAGCTAAAGGCATTAAAGCGGGAGTCGTCAAAAAGTCTATTCATTTTGACGATTACGTTGAATGCTTGCGTGATTTTAAGATTCAGACTAGAACTCAATACAACATTAGGTCACGGTTACATAATATAGAAACTGTTAAACAAGTTAAAGATACTTGCTTACCGAGAGTACCGATACTCTACCCTGGGGTCACTATAGGATCCCAGAAATCGAAGAATTGTAAATATTTTTGTAAAATAAAATGTAAGGATTTTCATGTTAAATAAATGTAAAAAAATATTATAAATTTTATGTATTTTTTTATTTATAAAAACCTTGTATATACATAACTCATAATTAAAATTGATTTAATTTAAATATTAATAAAAATTTGATTTTTATAATTTTGTTCTAATAATAAACACTGACAATGACAAATTCAAATATTAATCTCAAAATTGAAACAAGCAGAAATCAATTTGAAACAATTATCACAAAGTGAATTTAATACTCTCTATAATGTAACTGTTTAATAAAATATAATTTAAACATTATTGTAGAACTCTAGTCCTGGAATAAAATCTTCGACAAAGTGCAACATAATCATGATATGCACGTAGTAATTTTACATAATTTAAGGTTAAATCATTGTTGATTCATTGTTGATTCATTGTTGATTCACTATTGATTCATTATTGATTCATTATTGATTCATTGTTGATTCATTATTGATTCATTGTTGATTCATTATTGATTCATTATTGATTCATTATTGATTCATTGTTGATTTAACCTTAAATTATGTAAAATTACAACGTGCATATCATGAAAGTATGTTGCACTCTGTGGAAGATTTTATTCCAGGACTAGAGTTCTACAATAATGTTTAAATTATATTTTATTAAACAGTTACATTATAGAGAGTATTAAATTCACTTTGTGATAATTGTTTCAAATTGATTTCTGCTTGCTTCAATTTTGAGATTAATATTTGAATTTGGCATTGTCAATGTTTATTATTAGAATAAATTTTGATTTAAGTTATAAATTTGCTTTCTCTTCCCAAGTATTGTGAGAGTTATCAAAGCCAAGCCATTTGACGAGAACTTTATTTCCACGTGTCTTGAGAATTTTTTCAACCAGATAAATATCTGGATATTTTACTTTAAGAAGTTCCTCTGCATAGAATCCTCCACTAATGGGTTGATCTTGATAGTCTTTGAGTTTATAAGTTATAGGTTTAGTTGACAAGACTTGATCTATTGTGAATATTTCTGTTGTCCAATTGGGAGTGTAACCTTTCTCAAACACGCTTTTATACTTGCTGACTCGAACTTTGTCACCAATTTTAAACTTTGCTTTCTTTAAAGGTATTTTTCTTAGCTTTAAAAATCGTTCTTTCAAAATCTCAACATCTTCTGCAGTAACATCTTTCGGCTTCATTCCAATAGTCCGATGTTTAGTGTTATTATAATTGGAAATAAGATTAGGTAATATATCATACCATTTATAATTTCCACGTAGACTGAATTGCATCCACATTTTTCGTTTTAGAGTTCGATTAAATCGTTCAACAATAGATGCTTTCAAATTACTGAATGTTGAGTAGAAATTAATTTTATACTTTTTCATTAAAGCTTCAAACTGAGAATTATAGAATTCTTTACCTTTATCAGAATGTAGATTTTTTGGAATACGTCCTTTTATGAATATGGATTTCATAGCGTTAGTGACATCTTTTCCATTTTTACTTTTTACAGGAACAGCCCAAGCGTATTTGGAAAATATATCTATAACTGTTAGTAAATACTTAAAACCTTTATTTACTTTGGAATAAGGTAACATTTCTACTAAATCTGCTTGCCAAGTCTCATCAATATCACGCATGTCGACTCGGCGGCGATGATAATTCCTCCTTGCCTGACTATGAAGTTCAGTCACTACTGTTTTCTTTTTGTCGTTCATTTTCTAGAGTACTCAAACGAGCATCCAATTGACTGATAATTTCAGCGTTTCGATATGATAAATCAGTATTTATTTCTCTTTCCAAGACTTTTAATTTTTCGTTTATAGAGTCTTCGAGAATTTTTAATAATATATAGTTATTATCAATTTCTTTTCGCAGTGTAGACGTTACTTCATATATTAGTCTTAACTCGTTTTCGACTAAACGTTGTGCAAGTTGTAAATTAACTACGTCAGTTTTTTCTTTTGCATCAGCAACATTGGAAATTTTTCTACCCTGTAAGTCGAAGTGACCTTCTGAGTTAATTTTAAAACCAATTCCAGGTGGACCTGGAGGTCCTCTTGCGACCCTTACAATTCCTCTTTCATTAAGAGGATGTCCGAACACATCAATGCTCATCTTAAGACTGAGAGAAAGTTGATGAAACACCTCCTTATATACTTTTCTTGAGCCTGACTAAATGAAACAATAATTTTCAATATATAATTTGCGCTTCACGTAATTCTTCTATGATTGACATAATTTCATTATTGTGACTGGGATTCCCAGCTGCTTGAGATGCCATAAGCAATCGAAGACGGTCAACCAATTCGTTAGGATCATCCCAATAGATATAGTCTGGTTGAAAACTTTTTTTTACAATCATAAAATGTGGTAGTGAAGTGCCAGTTTTCGATCGTCTTTTTGGTGTTTCATTATGAGGAAAAAGTTTTAAAATAATATTGACATATTTAAAAGTTTTCTTGTACATATAGGTTCAGAAGAACTATAATTTTTTCTGTGAGCATTGGAGATGATGAGAATTTGTTTATAATTATTCATATCATCATCGCTAATGTATGTCATTTCAGGTTTATTTTTAAATAACAGTTCCAATAAACCAGAAGTAATATTAAAACGTTTATCACCAACATTTATTAAGTGATCTTTAAAACTTAATGGTGCATCAGCAATCTTGAGAGAACCATTTTTAACCTTATATACGCCGTACAACGTATCTAAACATTGCTTTCTATTATGATCTAGCAAGTATATATATTTATTAACTACTTTATCATATTCAAAGCCTGGAATTACTGATGTTTCATCTTCATCAGCACTCAAAAAATTCATACTATCATCTAATTCATCTTTACTTTTAATTACCTCCTCCTTCTTTTCTATCTTATGATTTTCATGTTTAACATCAGAGAGGTTAACAATTTTCTCTAAGGGTTGAACTATAGGTTTAAAAGTTTCACTCAAAACATTTTCAACAGCTTCTTTTCCAATTTTTAACATGCGATGTTTCCGTCTAATGGCCTCACTAGCTTTGGCAATTTGGCGGAGATACTCTTTCTCCTTACGAAACATGTTGTTAGTTCAAAGATATACACTAGACTAATAGTCATGGAACCAATCACCTTCTATTTATAGTGTTATGAAGCAGTCAAAACCTTTCCTATATCTCCCCTCATTCAGATTGCAGTCTTTATCAATGACTACGAAGCCATATTTATCAGAGTTCCAACATGTTGAACAAAGCTCACGAAACTTGGTAAATGTCATGTCTGTATTAACATGATCATCATACACATGTTTTAAATTTGTTTCATCCTGACGAAAAAGAACTAATAAATTAACATTATCTCTTACTAAATATTTGGGAATCCTCGCATATGTCTGACAGAGATAAAAGCAATCAACATTGACATGTCTACCCATGCAGAAGAAAGCTCTTATATTATCTTGCTTTTCACAAGCTACGTCATCAAATATAAAAATAGAGTTTGGCCTTGCACCTTTTGGGGAAATTACATCTTCATGCTCGCTAAATGGTAAATATTTAATTCCCTTAACACTACCTATAACTTTTTCCAAAAATTTATACTTTGGTTGGTGAAGAGATTTTGAGTAGAGATAAATATTATTAAATCTCAGACCGTTTGGATGTAAAATTAGAGAAAGTAGTACATTTGTTTTACCACAATTTGATGGTCCACAAAAAACTGCACGAATACTACCAGACAACAAACTACCATGACGCTTCACTTGCTTCTTATAGTACTGTTCTACAATCGCATCTAGATTCACGACTGGAAGCTTGTGATGTTGTTGCTTGAATCGCATTCTGAAATAGACTGCCGCAAAAGGTATAAATACAGCCCTTATATAGCTTACGAGTCATTCTACTTTTAACTTTCATAGAGTGAGGTATGATTATACATCACCGCTCCCGAGGTAAAGGTTTAGTTAACAGTCTTATAAATAAGTTACCATTTGAATTACACATACCTGGTTATCAATACTGTGGTCCAGGTACTAAATTGATAAAGCGTTTAGCACGAGGTGATACAGGTATAAATCCATTAGACGAAGTTTGCAAAGAGCACGATATTGCATATTCAGAGAATCGTAATAACGTTCAAGCAAGAAACGCTGCTGATAGGATTTTAGCTGATAAGGCGTGGCAACGAGTTTAAGCTAACGATTCCAGTGTAGGTGAAAAAGCTGCTGCTTTAGCTATATCTGGTACAATGAAGGTCAAATCAAAATTAGGTATGGGAATGAGAAGAAAAAAGACATCTAAAAATAAGAAGAAGAAGCAGAAACAAACAGTATTAAGAAAAATTGTTGATGCTGCTAGACATTCCATTATTCCGGGAAATGATACTCAATCTACAATCAAAGCTGCAGTTGAAAATGCTCGAAAAGCTATTAGAAGAGCAGGTGGTAGAAGTAAAATTTTAACACCTCGCATTCTACCAGTACCTTCAAAAGTTGGTGGTCTCTTACCATTAATTCCAATTTTTGCTGGTCTCAGTTCTCTTGGAGCTCTTGCTGGTGGAACAGCAAGTATAGTGAAAGCAGTAAACAACGCAAATGCAGCAAAAGAGCAGTTGAAAGAAGCTCATCGTCACAATAGAGTAATGGAAGATGTTTCTTTAGGTAAAGGTCTTTTCTTGAAACCCTATCGACAGGGATTGGAACTTTATTTGAAACCTTACTCTAAAGGATTAGGTATGAGGCAAAAAAAAAGATGTTTAAAAAAAAAGTTCTCATAAAACTTCCTCAACGAGCATTAACTAACTATGATTTGCTCAAATACGCTAAAGAGTTAAAAATTCCTCATTTTCGGGGAGTATTCATGCGAAATGAGTTGCCAATAGGAGGACCTCGGAAAAATGAATCTGCCATTATTAATCTCGATAATAAGGATGGTCCTGGAACACATTGGGTTGCTTATAAAAAGCTTCAAGATAAAGCATTGTATTTTGACAGCTTTGGTAACCTTCAACCACCTTTTGAGCTTATCAGTTATTAAGGCTATAATACCTTGATACAATATAATCATGACAGTTGTCAAAGTTATGATACTTTTCATTGTGGACACTTATGTCTTAAATTTCTAAGCGATCAACTCAAATTCTCTAACAAATATAACCTATATAAATACATGTAATCATATGTGAGCAATCAGTCTATAAAAAGTCATCATGGATGAATCATTTACTCTAACTATTTCAGGTAAATCATCTATACTTGAAGCAGAATATTTTCCACCAATAGAATTATTGCCAAATAAAAATTATGCTCTTGGTCTTGTTCAACTTCTAACTTTTAATTCAATTCCTAATGTTGATGTAGGAAAAAATAAATTTTATCTTGGTAATGATGTGATTACTATACCTACTGGCAGCTATGAAATTGAAGATATTGAAAAATATATTCAAAATTCCATTCAACAAGGATCGCAAGTTATAAGCATTAAACCAAATAATAATACCTTGCGTTGTGAAATTATGACTAGACGTGAAATTGATTTTACACATAAAGATTCAATTGGTGAATTATTGGGATTCACTGCACGCATTCTCGAAGATAATGCAATACATACGTCAGATTTCACAGTAGCTATTCTTAATGTAAATGCTATTAGAATTGAATGTAGTATTACAACTGGTGCATATATTAACATTAAAAAAGTACATACAATTCATGAATTTTTTCCAATTGTTCCAGCTGGATATAAGATCGTGGAAGTACCACCTCAAGTCATTTATCTTCCAATCGCCGTGAAGACAATACATAATATTCAAGTTCGAATCGTTGATCAAGAAGGAAATTTAATAAATTTTCGTGGTGAAACTATAACAATTAGATTACACGTTAAGTCAACGTAATGGGTATAGTATTTCACAGAAAAACTGGTGGAAGCTATATAAACGAGCAACCATGTCAAAAAGCAATCAGTCTTCAATCAGTTCGCAAAAGGCTAACACCTCAGAACATACGTTTCCTAAAGCAGCTCGGTCTACGAGTTTATCAAGAAAACAAAGGAAGAAAAGTAAACTAATCATTAAAATATTTTTCATTTGCTGTTGTTTCTATAAAAGAAATGGAAGATATTCTAAACATTCTTAGACCAGTTAAATTTGATGATTCTCTAGCACACTATGAGATTCATTCTCACCAACCCTACAATTCATCAGCATTTAATAATAGTGATGAAATTCGAATTCCAGTTCAAAATCAAGATCAATACATTTTACCCTCAAAAAGTACATTACACGTAACAGGAAGATTAGTAAAAGCTAATAATACTAATGTGACTAACACAAAGTTAATTAGTAATAGCGTTAGTTTTTTATTTAACGAGATTCGTTATGAATTGAGTGGAGTGGAAATTGATCGCTGTAAAAATGTTGGTCTAACAACCACTATGAAAGCCTATGTTTCTCACACACCTTATCAATTAATTTATGCTGAAAATGCTGGCTATCTTGAATTCGATGACGATCTTAGAATAACCAATGAGAATGGTTATTTTGATGTAAACATACCATTAAACATGATTTTTGGATTTGCTGAAGACTATCGAAAGATTGTTGTTAATGCAAAACATGAACTTATCCTCACAAGATCTCGTACAGACCTTAATGCTATAGTTGATATTACGGCAACTGAAGAGCATGAGCAATTTAAGATTATAATTAATAAAGTGGAATGGTTGATACCATATATATTCCTTGGAGATCGTCAAAAAATTGAATTATTAAAATTTATTGAAAAAGACCCTCTTATATCTATGAGCTTCAGATCGTGGGATATGTATGAATACCCATTGTTACCTACCACTCAAAAACATGTTTGGACTGTAAAAACTTCTACGCAGGTTGAGAAACCTCGATATGTAATCCTTGGATTACAAATAAATCGAAAAGATCATCCTGGAAGATATGCAAATATTTTTGATAGCTGTAATCTCATAAAAGTAAAACTTTTCTTAAATTCACAATACTATCCTTATAGTAATTTAAATTTGAATTTTAATCAAAATCAATTTTCAATTCTCTATGAGATGTATTGTAATTTTCAATCATCATACTATGGTAAAGATCCTGAGCCTATTCTGTCCAGGAATGAATTTAAAGATTATGCACCATTAGCTGTCATAGATTGCTCCAAGCAAAATGAATTTCTTAAACAAGCTTCTGTGGATGTGAAACTAGAATTTGAATCTAGTGAAAATTTTCCAGACAATACAGCAGCTTATTGTTTAATTATTCATGATCGAATTATTCAATACACACCAATCAGTAATGTTGTGAAAAAAGTATCGTAAAGAGTGGGGGTAAAAGTGAGTAGTGGGGGTAATGGTAAAAAAGTGGAGATAAGAGTATAAATACAGCAACTCTTAGAGCCTAAAGTCATTTATCTGTTATAGATACCATGGCGTACGTCGTAGATTTCCAGTGCTTCAAAAGACCTTATAACGAGTTTATCATAAAAGAGCTAGCAATCATCCCACTTCAAGAAGATGCTCATCCATTGGTGTTCCTCTTCGAGCCGCCATATGCCTGGAGCCGCCTACCGAGAAGATACAAGAGTCAAAATCGATGGACTGCATTTAATTATCATGGTATTGATTGGAATGCTGGTGACATACCTTATGAAGATTTACAACCAATTCTGAAAGAAATATTAATAGGTACACCTACAGTTTATGTAAAAGGTTTAGAGAAACAAAAATGGTTAGAAAGCTATACACAAAATGTATTAAATTTAGATGATTTGAATTGTCCGTCGTTGAAAAAATTAGCCTTAGATCAATATACTCCATGTACAAATCACACACACAATAATTTCCATTGTTCTGTAAAAAATGTATATAATATTCGCAAATGGTTACTACAACCATCTAATGTTGGTGGTCCATATAATCATATCTTTAATGTTCGGTCAGTTAAACAGTTTCTTACCTAATCACTCGAGTTAAAATTTATGTCAGAATCCTACATTACCCACTGCTGATAAAGTAGAAATCTGCATTACCGACCAGACAGTTACCATACACGGCTACATGTTATATA